CCAGACCACTATGACATGCTGGGACCTGGGAGGAAACCTCACAAACCTTACTTCTATTTCTGTGAGGTAATGGGGCCCTATAAGTACCTAAGATAGGGGTTTGTTACTATTGTTACTATTGTTATTATTAGTTAGTGAAGAAGTGGGTTGTTTGGCAAGTGGGGTTTGTATCCTGCAGTTAAGAACAGGATTAGCAGCTGCTCTTGCCTGGATGTGACTCAGGCAGCTTAGAGACCAACCAAGCAGCCCAGAAGACAGCTAGGAAAGGTGATTCTTCTGCACTATGGACCATTTATGGGTCTTTTCTTATAACTGATGCTTGGACTTGAGATAGGAGAAGTCTGTAGTAGGTCTTATGGTTATTGTTTGGTTTGATATGCTAACAACCAAAAATAAGTATAGCAACCCAGAAAGAGGAAGAGATTTTATTTTTATTAACCAGAGAGTTTGGTGTCTATTACTGAAAGAAACCCCTGAGTCCCCAATTTCTACATGGAAAGCTTCTCTCTTTTTGCCTATTTCAACTTACCTTTTTGAAAAGGTAGGAAGCACAATACAACAGAAAACGCTTGAGTATGACCAGCAAACAAAAATGCAAATTGAGCAAAATGTGATTTGAAAAGAAGAGCTAGAGATGGGCATAGCTAGAAAAGAAAAGGCAATTTTCTAACAGTGAGATAGGGTGTGACTGTGGTACTTTACTAAATTATAGCAAATGTATCTTTACCTTAAATATTACAGAAATTTCCAACCCTTCTGACTGCATAGACTGGGCTCCCTTCAGGATATGGTCAAAGCCACATTTCTAAAACAACATTGGAAAAATTTCTGTGGCTGGAGTGGGGCCTTTTAAATTTCCGCCGGAGCCCCAGGGCTCCCAGCCAATGCCACTGCTACCCTGGGGCCCTGGCAGCGATTTAAAGGGCCTGGGGCTCCTGGCTGCCACTGCCATCACCGCACCTGCGGCTGGAGCCCTGGGCCCTTTAAATCAACGCCGAAGTCCCGGGCAGCGGGGGTGGGGCAGCGCTGAAGGGCTGGCTGGGGGATTTTGGCCCCAGCCCTGCCCCTTCCACCCAAGGCCCCGCCCCTCAGGGGGCCCAGAGGCACCCCCACACCTGGCCCAGGACCCCGGCCACCCTGCATATCAGTAAGTCATTTAAGTTACTTTCACCCCTGGCCCTTGGTCAGCAGCTGCCACTCTCTGGCTACCCAGCTGTGAAGGCAGCAGCACAGAAGTAAGGGTGGCATGGTATGGTACTTACTTCTGCACTGCTGCTGGATGGTCACCTGGCCAACGGTCACACCTCTCCGGGAGAGCTCTAAAGGCAGCGCAGAAGTAAGGGTGGCAATACTGTGACCCCCCTAAAATAACCTTGTGACCCCCCCACCCCCCGCGCAACTCTTTTTTGGGTCAGGACCCCCAATTTGAGAAATGCTGGTCTCCCCCCATGAAATCTGTATAATATAGGATAAAAGCACACAAAAGACCAGATTTCATGTGGGGGAGAGACTAGATTTCATTGTCCGTGCTGCGTTTTTCATGGCTGTGAATTTGGTAGGGCCCTAGTTATATCTGAACCTAAGAGCTGAAAGTTTCCATTTCCCAAATCCTTCACCCCTTTACCTCCCTAGTCTAGCCCCTCTCAAAAAGCCTACTTTGAAGTTAGCATGCTTAGAAAAGGAAACTAAATGAAACATTCTTTCTGACAAGAAACCTGGAGAAATTCCAAAACTGCCAAGAAGTTGCTGTTCAGAGAAGCCTACCATTCAATATGCTCAGTTAATGCAGAGACAGGGAGAATAGAAAATGATTAAAAACAATATGAGCTCAACTTGCTTAACCCTTTGGCACTGGTGATGGTGATGCTCCCAGTGTTGTGTGCTAATTCATCATGCATTAGCACTTTGCATTGAGGTAACTCAACAATTAGGGTCAAGGGGCTAAGCTTCCCTATATGATTCAAGCTGAAATCTCTCCAACTCTTCTATTTAAGGCCATTAGATCACGAGACCTCCTTTCTGATCTATTTTTTTCCTATGCATTGTGGAAGCAAACACTTTCAGTTCATGTTTCCTGCCTCCTAAACCATAACAACATTTTTTTTTAAAGCTGCTAAATATACCAAATTCTACCCTTGATTAAATCCAGGAACCCAAATGAAGCCAGTGTGCCACAGCTTGGCCTCGTGTGTAAATGCATAGACTGTTTTTGTATGTTGTACTCTGCAGGCCAGGGGTGGGCAAACTATGGGAGCGGCTCGGTGCGGCGCGGTGCGGGGCCAGGGCAGGCAGGCAGGGAGCCTGCCCTGGCACCAGTGCGCACCGTTGCCACCCCGGAGCCGCTCCAAGTAAGCGGCGCTGGGCCAGAGCCCGCACCCCTCCTGCATCCTGCACCCCAAATCCCTGCCCTGAGCCCCCTGCCTGCACCCCAATACCCTGCCGCACCCCGCACGCCTCCTGCACCCCAACTCCCTGCCCTGAGCCCCCTGCAGCACTCCACAACTCTCCTGCACCACAACTCTCTGCCCTGAGCCCCCTCCCGCACTCCGTACCCCTCCGGCACCCCAACCCCCTTCCCTGAGCCCCCTCATACACTCTGGCCCCCTCCTCTGCCCCAACCCCTTGCCCCGAGCCCCTTTCTGCAAACCGCACCCCCTCCCACACTGCGCACTCCCTCCCACACCCCAACCCCCTGCCCCGCATGACATTTCCCCACCCAGATGTGGCCCTCGGACCAAAAAGTTTGCCCACCCGTGCTGTAGGCCCTTGTGCCAGATAGCTTAAAGAGTTAAGGAGGCCTGAAGTTTGTTCGGACAGATCCTCTCACATCCTCACATTTGCCCCCACCAAACTCTAACAAGTTTGATAATCATTTAAAAGGATGGGAGGAGAAGAAGAAGAAAGGCAAATAGTTCAGAAATTTCCGACCGCTCCATTCCGCTGGGTAGGAAAGATAGAAAATGTGGCAAAAGACCAGCTTGGCTTAACCACGAGATCTTGCATGATCTAAAAAATAAAAAGGAGTCATATAAAAAATGGAAACTAGGACAAATTACTGTACAAAGGATGAAGATAGGCAAACAACACAGGAATGCAGGGGTAAGATTAGAAAGGCAAAGGCACAAAATGAGCTCAAACTAGCTAAAGGAATAAAGGGAAACAAGAAGACTTTTTATCAATACATTAGAAGCAAGAGGAAGACCAAGGACAAGGTAGGCCCACTGCTCAGTGAGGAGGGAGAAACAGTAACAGGAAACTTGGAAATGGCAGAGATGCTCAATGACTTCTTTGTTTCGGTCTTCACCGAGAAGTCTGAAGGAATGCCTAACATAGTGAATGCTAATGGGAAGGGGGTAGGTTTGGAAGATAAAATAAAAAAAGAACAAGTTAAAAATCATTTAGAAAAGTTAGATGCCTGCAAGTCACCAGGGCCTGATGAAATGCATCCTAGAATACTCAAGGAGCTAATAGAGGAGGTATCTGAGCTTCTAGCTATTATCTCTGGAAAATCATGGGAGACGGGAGAGATTCCAAAAGACTAGAAAAGGGCAAATATAGTGCCCATCTATAAAAAGGGAAATAAAAACAACCCAGGAAACTACAGACCAGTTAGTTTAACTTCTGTGCCAGGGAAGATAATGGAACAAGTGGTTAAGCAAATCATCTGCAAACACTTGGAAGGTGGTAAGGTGATAGGGAATAGCCAGCATGGATTTGTAAACAACAAATCATGTCAAACCAATCTGATAAATTTCTTTGATAGGATAACGAGTCTTGTGGATAAGGAAGAAGCGGTGGATGTGGTATACCTAGACTTTAGTAAGGCATTTGATACGGTCTCGCATGATATTCTTATCAATAAACTAGGCAAATACAACTTAGATGGGGCTACTATAAGGTGGGTGCATAACTGGCTGGATAACCGTACTCAGAAAGTAGTTATTAATGGTTCCCAATCCTGCTGGAAAGGTATAACAAGTGGGGTTCCGCAGAGGTCTGTTTTGGGACCGGCTCTGTTCAATATCTTCATCAATGACTTAGATATTAGCATAGAAAGTACGCTTATTAAGTTTGCAGATGATACCAAACTTGGAGGGATTGCAACTGCTTTGGAGGATAGGGTCATAATTCAAAATGATCTGGACAAATTGGAGAAATGGTCTGAGGTAAACAGGATGAAGTTTAATAAAGACAAATGCAAAGTGCTCCATTTAGGAAGGAACAATCAGTTTCAAACATACAGAATGGGAAGAGACTGTCTAGGAAGGAGTACGGCAGAAAGGGATCTAGGGGTTACAGTGGACCACAAGCTAAATATGAGTCAACAGTGTGATGCTGTTGCAAAAAAAGCAAACGTGATTCTGGGATGCATTAACAGGTGTGTTGTGAGCAAGACACGAGAAGTCATTCCTACTCTGCGCTGGTTAGGCCTCAACTGGAATATTGTGTCCAGTTCTGGGCACCGCATTTCAAGAAAGATGTGGAGAAATTGGAGAGTGTACAGAAAAGAGCAACAAGAATGATTAAAGGTCTAGAGAACATGACCTATGAAGGACGGCTGAAAGAATTGGGTTTGTTTAGCTTGGAAAAGAGAAGACTGAGAGGGGACATGATAGCAGTTTTCAGGTATCTAAAAGGGTGTCATAAGGAGGAGGGAGAAAACTTGTTCAATTTAGCCTCTAAGGATAGAACAAGAAGCAATGGGCTTAAACTGCAGCAAGGGAGGTTTAGGTTGGACATTAGGAAAAAGTTCCTAACTGTCAGGGTGGTTAAACACTGGAATAAACTGCCTAGGGAGGTTTTGGAATCTCCATCTCTGGAGATATTTAAGAGTAGGTTAGATAAATGTCTATCAGGGATGGTCTAGACAGTATTTGGTCCTGCCATGAGGGCAGGGGACTGGACTCAATGACCTCTCGAGGTCTCTTCCAGCCCTTGAATCTATGAATCTTGTTTCAGATGAATTGGGTTAATAAATGAAACAAATCAATTTGCTTTACCCTTTTACTGCACGTCTTTCCATCATTCCAAGTGTAGGAGGAGCCACTGGAATATTCACTGCAAGCACTTGATAGAGAGAGTTCACTGCTACTGCAACTGCTCCGGGGATATAGGCGACTGGGCCCTGTCGTATTTAATTGACTCTGGCATTTCAAGGCAGGTATACTGGATTTCACATTCTGCTGGCATTCCTAAAACACAAGAAGAAATGCAACAATCTTATGGGTAAACACAGATCATTTTCTCTTCTACCTGATTGATTTAGTTAATAGGGCAAAACGCAAGTGTGCCATTTATACTTGCATTGTATTCCTTTAGGATCTGGTAAAAATTAATGAATTGATGTAAAATAAAAAGAAACAATTTAACGTTTAGCTTTATTAGAACAGAAAAAAATCTCAATCCCTCCAATTCTTTTTATTTATTTACTGTGGCTTCAGTATTCTGCTGGTCTTTCTGCAAGAGTATTTTGAGTCTGTTTGAATTCTGCTGTAGATATTAGCAGCATGCTCCAGTAAGATATCACAAACTAAGTTATAAGAGTACAAGTACATCTTGACAACTGCATTATAGCCCCACAATGTAACAGATGAGGCTCTACCAACTGGACAAGGTAAATTAATTTAGTGTCCCAAACAGAATGTCCACCGAGAATGGAATCTCTCCATTACAGTCTAATTCTGGTTTCCTATCTAGTCCAAAGCTTTGTCTAAGAAACTCTCTGATGTAGACAATCCATCTTTGTGTCACTCTCAGACAGCTGAAGCCTCTTGCTTATGCAATTTATTGACACTTTATGGCTGCCTTTAGTACTTGGGTAGTTATCGCCCCTCTCCAAATGCAATTTCAGCTGACTGTGACTAAATGCCAGCTTTGAGGAAGAGAGTAATGAAGAGAAGATAGCACGTTAGGTAAAATATTAAACCTTTGTAGGAGTATCTAGGATGTGATTAATTTGTATTCAAACTAGTACTCTTGTGCCTAACAATGCTAGACTTTCTTTAACATTAAGTGCCTGCACTGTTATGTTGTTATGATGAGATCCTCTAATGCCATATAGAATCAGAAACTTTTTTAATTACCAGGAATACCAAAGAGCAACACTACTACATTTTTTCTGAAAGTTGGCTTAGAATTTCATTAAAACTATAAAATAACCTCACAACCAAGCCTTAAGCAATATTTATTGATTTCCATTCTTGTTTATAGCCTGATGTAGTTTTGCTTAGAAGAGTGTTTTCACATTTATATCCCAATAGGATACAAACAAATCTAAGGTTATATAATACATGAGCAGCTGGCAAAACTGTCAAATAGATTCAATGGATGTATAAAATGTCTCATGGAAATCTTTGGAAAATATTCAATTTAGAGACCGTTCTCCATTTACTCTCTTCCATGCTGGGTTGCTTTTTGTGTGATTTCCCCCCATTTATTACTACAAAGGCCGTTTGGCTGAGAACACGATTTTTATTGCTGAGGAGTTCGTCAGCTACTGCTGCTCATTCTTCAAGTGACATCATAATGCTCTGTCTGTGACAAACCTAACTACATGGCAAATCATCGCTCCCTGTCATGGACAAAACCCCTGGATGGGAAAAATCAGTCAGCAGTAGCAGCAGCGAGTTTCACCTCAGGGAGTTATCGACACATGTTCTAAGCAGTGAAAGGGGTGCAGAAGGACTAGCCTTCAAACTCTCCATAGTGCCAGGTAATACACAGAGCACAGGCTTCTGCATTTCTGCAATAGAGTCCTTTGGCTTTGTTGATACATCTCTCTCTCTTCACCATTGGCATCATTCACTCCCTCTGCTGTCACTAGTTCCCCCTGTTATGCCTGCATGCTCCCCTGCAGGTAGAAGGCATGGAGGCCAACAGTAGCATTGATTTCTGCTTATTATGGCATTTCAGCTGTGGTGCTAGATAAACATACAATGTTCGGTGACTGCACTCTGAGTTCCACCCCATATAACAGGCCAGACATGTCCAGAGTGCCTAGTGCCTGCATGGAAGGGCTGCTGTAGATTCTGGGGAAGGGAAGCACATAGCATGCTGCAGAACCCTCACTCCCCTCCCCCCACCTTCTGCTGCTTTGGGAGCCTTCCCATCCCATCCTCTTTTCCCCTTTGTGCCTTAAGGAGGAGAGGGACATCAGGTCCTATGATTTCAGGATAAGAAGCAGATGGACATCAAAGCAAAAAATATTTTCATGTAAATACCCTTAATATTTACAGCAAGTAAGAAAACATGGAAAATATAGTGTACATCACTAGAATTCTTTCTAAATAGAATGTTCTCCAAACTTTCTAAATTTTAAAAGGAGGTTGGGTTTTCCTTCTATGAGCTGTCTAATTTTTTAAAAAATTCTGTTTAAAAAACCTTTAAAGATTATATTTATGATGCATTAATTACATATAGTTAACTTGCACATTGGTTAATTAATTTGAATTGCATAATCTGACTTTTTCCCCCTAATCATGACTTCTAAACCATCACCTTTAATGAAATTAGAGTACAAAAGCTCTCTGTATGAGTATAATTTAAACATGTAATTGTTGTTAGAAAGGAAAGACAACTGAATGAATCAAACAATTACAGAGAGAAAACTGCATACTTAGAAAAATCTAACCTGAAGGCTAAATTACAGATTATATAGAGGGTCATTAACATCTTTGTGAACCTTTGAAACAATGGCTTTCCACTAAAATATGTATTATTATAAAGGAGATTACATTTCTGATGACAGTTTTATACTTTAAGATGAAAGGCACAGAAAGGCTCAGTTTTCTGTTCTCATCCGCTTTATTTCTCTCTCTTTATGTGACTTTTGTTTTTAAAGCTACTTTTCTCTCCGTCAATGAAACATGAAAGCCCTACTGGTTAAAGTTTTGCCAAATAAGCACAAAGCTAACCCCAGCTTTTTAAAAAAAAAACTGCAGAGACCATGAATTTTTAAAAGTTCATACATAATATATCATAAAAGTAGGATGAATAATATGGCGCATGGGCTTTAATAAAAAGCTCCTTGACCATTTCTCAGAGATTTTGAGATGTAATCAATACCCAAAAAGGTATCTTGGGGACATTGTCAAGATTTATGCTTTTTTTGCACAGAGTGACACTTTCTGTGTACTATATCAACCTGAGACATGATATTGAATTTCAGAGAACAGAAGAAAGGAAAGTATTGTTATCTGTCTCAACAATGGCTCACCCATGACATCGCACTTCACAGACAGAAATGAGTGCTCCAAATGAGGCACTCAAAGACAGCACAAAAACTCACATGAATCTGAACACCAGTAGTTCGTGATTGTATCAAACTTCTGTTCTTTTCTACATCTGAAAGCAAATCCCCAGACGAAAGATCTAAGATGCGTGAATGCAGTTTCTGGCAGAAGAGAATGACCAAAGCATAAACATTTGACAAATATGCAACAGATCAGCATTTTAAAAATTCCAAACCGTGCAGTTAAATTTCAAAGGAGAATAAAACCCTGTGGTAAAAGAGCACTTGTCCTAATTTGAAAGTTTTCCGTTTTACTGCTTACTGAGTCCAGGACTTGACGCACCAAGATTTTTCATCCAAAAAACCCTGAACTTTTTCTCCCTGAGACTGTTTCACAACTTATCATGATTTCACATGCAACAATGACAAAGTAATAGGACCACAATCATATTTATCCATAAAGTCTGGCAAGTTTGAATTAAAAAAGTATAAAAATGAATGATGAAATTAACATTTATAAAGCAATCAACACATTAACCTTGTTTTATTTATCAGTTGCTATAGCCTGAGTGAATGATTATAAAAGTGACCCTATTTCTAAACGGCATTGATCTTGTGAAGCCCTGCCTTGCACACATTTTAACTCAAAGTCATTAATGTCATCTGTTAGGAACAATTAATATGAATAGAAAATAATTGCATCAGGGAGCAAGGGACTCAGAGGATTTTGTGCATTAATATTCACCTGCTGTTCAATTACATACGCAGTCCTTTATTTCAGTTTTGCTTGGAAGGCCTGCTAACCTGGTGCCATTTCCCCCATATTAATCTGTACACTAATTACCAAGGCTTTCTGTATAGAATAAGTCTGACCTGTTTTAATTGCAAATGTATGATTTATTTGAATGTTGTTTCTTGACCAATGACTTCAAAAGAAAAAACAGCAATATCTGCTGTCCAGCTGGTCATGTGAGCCAAGCTTTTTGATTATAGATACTTGGGATCTGATCCATAGTCCACTGAAATATATGAAAAGGTTCCTATTGACTTCAATGAGCTTTGGGTCAGGCCCTCTGGTAAGATCCTGCCCACCCTCCCTGCAACCACGGAGGAATCAAGACATTGGAACTGCTAAGTTCATGTCGTGCATGGCTGTGGGTGTTGGAAAGGGTTGAAGGAGAGGCTGCAGAAAACCTGCCAAGGAAACTTGGTACCCTAGGTTACGCTGTGTAGGACACACCCTATGGGAATGTGGAGATGGTGCAGTGGGGCAAGGCAGTGGACCCAGAAACTGTTTATCCATGGGTTCACAAATATTAGTATGAGGGGGAAGCAATAGCTTGCAACCGCTAATCCTACCTATATCCAGGTGGAGCAGTGGCAGAGCAGCTCTACACAGGCTTCTGCAAGCTGGGACTGAGGCTTCAGCTCAGCACCACATGCAGTGCTCAGCCTGCTTATCAGGCACTCACCTCTACAATTTCGTCCTCTGGAGAATGAATCATCCAGAAATAGACATCTCTTCTTAAAGCCTTTGTTGTTCACATCCACTATTGCAAACTGACTTCTATTCCAGGCAATTTAGTACACTTTTAACCACTAATTATTACTTTGGGAGTAATTTTGCAGGAGTTACATATTCATTTAGTTTTCATTCAGTGTTTTGTTTTAACTGGTGCTATCCTGTTTCAGTAAGATTATGGGAAACTGTTTGAATGATGAATACTCTGTATAATCATATTTCCTATAACAAAATGTTGAATACATGCCACAAACACTTTGCATTCAGTATATTTTTCATTATAAATATTTACTACACCCAGTGTACATGCCTTTTAACACAATGTCAGTTATATCTATTCTCCAGTTATTGAACGTGAACCATTTAAAATATTGTTATTGTAACTGCAGGCTAATGTTTGCCCAAAATTTAAATACTGACTAATTACACCTTTCCAAGCTCACAGGTTTACAATGAACTCAAAGTTAGCCTTTAACTGAAAGTCTCCCAACTGTATAGTTGAGCCACCAGAAAATTCAAATTGGTTCAGACACAGGAATCTTTGATGCTATGCAAAGGTGTTGTTAGGTAGGGCCCTTTGAAAAGGGATGTCTTTCCTCCAAAGAGACCAATTTCCTGGTCTCTCCTTGCAGAGGATTTTTAGTGCAAGTTTCTGTACTTTAAGTCATGCATTAGACTGGAAAATTGGGGATGTGTGAGGGGAATGGACACTAACGTTTATTTCCCAAGAAAACATACTGGAAATACGACTTCAGGAGTTTTACATCCTGAAGACTTGCTTCAGGGTTTGTCAGTCCCTAAAAATATTTTGAAAATAAATATTTTATTGTACATGAGTTAGCAATACAGATGGCGGTAAATAAAGAAGTGAACAATATAATTTGTTATGACAATAACTATCACATGAAACTAAGTACACCGCTATATCATTCTTGTGAAACATAATGCCAGCTCACTCAGCATACTGAGTCAGCAAGAAGAAAATAAAATCAGGAAAGAAAAAGAAATAATCGCTCAAATAACAACCTAAAATTAATTTTAAAAAGTAAATTGTTAAAAGTTATAAATTATTGGGCTTAATACAGGAGTAAATGGGTGACATTTAATGGCCTATGATATACAGGAGGTCAGACTAGATGAGCTAATGAACCCTTCTGGCCTTAAACTTTATGAGCCTTTAAATAATAAAAGCAAATCAGCAAAATAATAGAGAAGAAAGAAAGGAAAGTGGGTTCTCAAGATCTATAATACCACTACATATCTGTATCAAATAGACAAATTAAGTAATTATCATACTGGAAACGTTCACCATCATACAAATCACAAAAGAATCTGGGGATTATAATGGATCACAAATTGAATATGAGTCAACAATGTGATTCAGTAGTGAAAAAGGCTAATATCATACTGGAGTGTATTAACAGGAATGTCATATGTAAGATACAGTGGGTAATTGTCTCACTCTTCTCAGCTGGAGTATGTTTCCAGTTCTGGGTGCCACACTTTAAGACGGATGTAGACAAATTGAGAGAGTCAGAGGAGAGCAACAAAAATGATGCAAGGTTTACAAAACCTGACCTGTGAAGGAAGGTTAAAAAAACTGGGTATGTTTAGTTTTGAGAAAAGAAGACTGAGGGGGCAACTGTCTTCATATATGTTAAGAACTGTTATAAATAGGCTGGTGATCGATTGTTCTCCATATCCACTGAAGGTAGGACAAGAAGTAATGGGCTTAATCTGCAGCAAGGGAGTTATAGGTTAGATATTAGGAAAAGCTTTCTAACTATCAGGCTAGTTAAGCACCGGAGTAGGCATCCAAGGGAGTTGTGGACAGGGCCGGCTCTAGGATTTTTGCCACCCAAAGCTAAAACAATTTTGGCCGCCCCCCCCGTTTTTTAATTACCCCCACCCCCGGCCCTGCCTCAACTCCGCCCCTTCCCCAAATCCCCAGCCCTGCCTCCTCCCCCCAGGCTCTCAAGCCTGAGAGGGAGGGAGGGAGGGGGAGCAGCGGCGCGCGAAACAGCTGTTTCGCGCCCCGCGGCCCCTCGGGATCTCCCCCTCCCTCCCAGGTTTGAGAGCCTGGGAGGGAGGGGGAGACTCCGAGTGGCTGCGGCGCGGGCGCCGCTTCTCCCCCTCCCTCCCAGGCTCTCAGGCCTGGGAGGGAGGGGGAGCAGCAGCGCACGAGCAGCAGCGGAGGTGAGCTAGGGCGGCTGGGGCACATTTTTAGGGGCGGCATTCTGGCGCCGGCCATGCCGCCCCTAAAAATGTGCCGCCCCAAGCACCAGCTTGTTTTGCTGGTGCCTAGAGCCAGCCCTGGTTGTGGAATCCCTGTTATTGGAGGTTTTGAAAAACAGATTAGACAAATGCCTGTCAGGGATGGTCTAGTATACACAGCCCTGCCTCAGTGCAGGAGGCTGGACTAGATGACCTCTTGAGGTCCCCTCCAGTCCTACATTTGTAGGATTCTATGAAATCAGCTGTAACAGATACATAGCCAGCAGAACAACCTACATTAACAAAGTTTAAAGAAACAGAACAAAGTTTGTATTAAGATAATTAAGGAAATATAGCCACACAGCAATGAAGCAGTAGTTATAAAGTAAAAATGTCAGGAAAATAATTTCCCCCTACATTCATTTCTTTTCTCTAATGATAAAGTAAAAAAACCAAAGAAGTATAATGTTGCTTATTAAAAATGTCAATACATTTACAAAATGAAAAAATATTGTACAAAAAGTGACTCCCTCCCCCCCCCCACTGATGACTTCATCTCACATAAGCTCCAGTGACATGATGTAAACTATACTGTATTGATCATGGACCTTCTCACATGACACACTTGTTTACATTACAGCATCTGTGTAACGATACCTCTGTGCTGAAAATAATTTGATTTTTAAAATATTGTTGATGCCCTTGGGTGCAGCAGAACAAAATAGAGTACAAGAGGAGATTATTCTTCTTGAACTCTGTGTAATGTGGAGAACTTCCATGCATGAACTTCCCTTGCCTAAATAGGAGAGGTGCATATATATATATATATATGGAGCAATACCTATCTCATAGAGCTGGAAGGGACCCTGAAAGGTCATCAAGTCCAGCCCCCTGTCGTCACTAGCAGGACCAAGTACTGATTTTGCCCCAGATCCTTAAGTGGCCCCCTCAAAGCTTGAACTCACAACTCTGGGTTTAGCAGGCCAATGCTCTAGCCCAGGGGTCGGCAACCTATGGCACGCAAGCCGATTTTGAGTGGTACGCAGCTCCCTGCCGCGGTCCCGGCCCCCAGCCCCACTCAGCCCCCCCGCCCACCGCTCTCCCCTGCGGGGGCAGGAGACAGAAGCTTGGTTCTGCGGCAGCCAAGCCTCCCCCGCTTCTTCCCCCAGCGTGGTGCTTTCCTGCCCCTCCTCCTCTCCTTCCCTGCGCCAATCAGCTGATGGCCCTAGCGAGGGGGAGGGGGAAGAGCGGCAGCGTGCACACAGCTCCGTAGAGGATGCAGAGAGAGGTAGGGACGGAGCCTGGGGGAAGGGGGTGGAACAGGGCATATCCCTTCCAGCCCCCTGCCTTGAGCTGTTCAGGGCAGGGGGCTGAGAGCACCTCCACAAGCCGAGCACCCCAGCCTTCTGCCCTGCATCCCCCACAC